ATGTAGCTTATCATCACCTTACCAGATGGTGTTGGCAGTGGCTAGGGAGAGATGTACGTGTAGTTTACCATCATGCTCTGTTGTAAAGATATGTCAAACATTTCCATCAGTAACTTCACAGTATGTAGGTTTTATTATTTGTAACGCAGTAGCGTTACTAAGTAGGATGCACCCCCAAACAAAATGGCTGCCACGACTTTTGCAGCCTTGCTATACCGGGAAAACGAGCTCCTATGTTTACCAGACTTCTTAGAGGACCTTATCTTGACCAGAGGACTCCATTGGTACCACTAGCGTGGCTCTAGACCTTGTATAAGAGAAAATACAAAAATCGGCAAACTGGCCGTTTTGTTCAGCTACCTTTTTTCATCTTCATTATCATCATCAAGAAAGTTAGTCCTGTCAATCCAGTTGTCGGTGTGTATCTCAGTATCAGTTGGTGCTACAAGGATAATTCTTACACCAATCTACTCCAACAGTCTATGCGCAGGTCCATGTCCCATCAGATCATTTTTCAAGTAAGGAAAAAGTGATACTGTGACTGCTGGATCGAGCCATCTTAGCTACATGCCGCCATTTTGTTAATTAAAGAAGCTTGCCATGTGCTCCAAAATTTGGGTGTGGTCGCGCATGCTCAGATCTGCAGCTCTGGAAGAAGCAAGTTATTTTTTACCAAGCTATGCTTGGAATTAGTCAGGCGTGGCGTGACCCTTGCACGGAGAGGAGGTTCAGGAACACCATGTATATCAATCTTGTTCTGTACTCTATGGCTTCAGGCGGGGCTGATACATGCTGTTTAGGTGGAGCTGGATCATGAATTACATTAACTACAATGAATATTATTATTATTTTCAATTATAATAATTAACTAATAAAGTATTAAGATAATCATGGCTTCATTTTCAGCTGTTAAGAAACCTGTTTTTTTCCTTGGTTGTGGCTCTGATATATCAGAAAAAGCTAACAATAGGTATAATCTATTGAGCTTATCATTTAATAATCTTTTGAACACTTGGAAGCAACTAATGGCTGAAGAAGGGATAGATCCTGAAGAGCTTTTGCATGAAAGGAGCATCAACAGTAGCATCATCACAGGCAGAATATGTAGACCATGCGCAGCATCTATAGACAAAGCTAGAAAATTGGAAGTAAAGTCTACTAGTTTTAAAGGCTGATATGATAAATGCTATTAGCAAAATTAACTCTATCTGCTTCTCTCATGGCAAATCACAAA